TTTTTTTGATTACATGGTGATTCATGATACTCCCCACAAACCCACTCTTCCCCAGCAGCGCTGCCGCTTGAGCCGCTTCGTCACCGCAGTCAAGAGAAACAACCTTTGTTCAAACACCTACAATTTCTCGGACTTTTCGCCATGCTGTTCCATCACCTTCCTTCCCAACGTGGCAACTGCGTTAACTGAAAACCCAAGTTCGAAGTGTGTTTTATTTATACCCAGCTACCCTGGCATTTCTGTGTGTTTTTATTAATCCGCATGGGAATTTGATGGAATTGCAGGTGGGCTGCAGGTTCTATCCTATCCCAGTAGTGCTGACCGGGGGTAGGCCTGTCCTGCCGAGGCAGGACCGGGGATGGAACGGCCCTAGAGCGAACGCCGGTAGGTTGACCTCCCATAGTGGTAGAGTTTGGGTTTGTCCGTTCTGACCTGTAACAGTCAGTAAACCATGATCATCCTTTTTGAACAAGGCCTGGAGCTGTTACAGCTTATAGGATAGACCCCAAGTAGAGTCTATTAAATATTCATTGTCTCATGTTCAGTGAGAGAAAGCCAACGCACCAGTCACATCCGTCGCCATCCAGTCACATCCGTCGCCCTGGAGTCGCCACAAACGCCGTCCGACCGGGGCCCCTGGACCCCGCGGACCCCGCGGACCGCGTTGGCGTCGCGCCCGAGGCGGTGCGGCCTTGTCTTTCGAGAAATCGGAGGAGGTCGACCCTACCGCGAGCTGGCTGGGAGCCCCAGCCCAGCTAAAAGCGAGCTCTTTGATGGTTTGGCTCTAGCGGAGCCCCAGCCGAGCCCCAGCCTCGGAGCGCGAGCGAGCTCTTCGATGGTCTGGCTCTTCTGGCTCTAGAAATGTTCCAAACGACTGGTTCCCACACCAGACGAATGGGACTGGAATAGGTATCACCGATGGTCTGGGGTTGGAAGAACTGCCCTTCTTTTGTTGCTTGCATGAGCCTAGGCTCTTCATTCGACCATGTCCAGACTTGCTTGGAAGATTTGCCCCCTTTTGGGTTGCCTGAGCCCGTCGCACATCTGACGTGATCGATGCCGATGAGGTTGCCCGAAATGACTGGTCTGTCCATCCAGGCACTTCATTCGTCGTGATCCCATGCTCCGGCACTTCCTCTCTTTCAGACCGGTCCAGTCGACTTGGAGGGGGGACGCTCCAGTCGGGAGCCGTCCGGGGACGGAGATGGAGCTGAGAAGACGACCGGGGACGGAGTGGATGAGGAGTCATGTGGTCTTAAGTGGATTCATGGGATTCATGGGACTACGGAGGATTCATTGATATCCACTTTTTGGGCAAACATTCATGAGAGTCATGTGGTTTGGCAACCATTTGGAATTCTGAAGTGCCTATCTCAAAAGCCGTTGCTTCACTGGGCTCAGAAGTAGGGCAAAGCCATCAAGATGTAATCCAACAAAAATCAGAGTGCTAGGCACCACCGTGGGCCTCCACCTACCTCCCTGTAAGCAACCGATGATTGGTGCAGATGTTGGGGGGGTCGTGCCAGACCTGCGACCCCCTGAACTCGCCCCCTGGACCCGTTCCTCATGCTAAGGTGGGGCACACACCCGGCCACCGTCTTAGCAGACCTGCCTGGTGTCGCGGGGGGGCAGGAGTCGCCGGAGAGTGGTGGATCTGGTGGAGAGAATGAAACAGGGCGCTTTGCTTCGAAGCCAGGTGCTGAAACAAGGGTTTTGGTGGCCAGTGGCCAGAACTTCAACTTGGCCAATGTCGATCTGGGAGTTGGTTCTACAGATAACTGAGGTTTATGGAGAGTGAATATGTGGTTAGGCCTGGAAAATGTTGATCTCCATAACCGAAAATGTATGCGCACTGTCTCCATAAGCAACTGATTTGTCGACATGCCTTGTTGAATCGTTCGCGGCCAATAGCTCCACCTAGCTAGGGCACTACCCATGCGCACCTTGTCGACCATGCACCCTGTTTGTTTGGGGCATCTCCGCTTCATTAGCTTCAAGTCATTTCAGTCTTCCTTCCCCCCCTAGACCCGCGGCCAGCCGCGCGACCAGTGTCTCCAGGCAGAGACGCAGGCGGGGACTGGCTTCTTCCGTCCGGGCGACCCGGCCAGTCCGCTCGCGTCGGGGAGCTCCGAAAGGGCTTGGTCTTGGTCAAAAGCATGAGGTCTAAGGTATAAGGGGTCGGCCATCTTTGGTGGAGGTTGCAAAGGTTCAGATGTTTTCTGCAAATCCAAGTCCTAGATATGTGATATATGTTTGGTGGCTTGGTGTACTGAGTGAGTAAACATGACAAATGAGTAAACCTTGGCAAACCTTGGCACCAGACACCATGATGAACACACCTTTGAACACACCCAGTAGACGGTGGAAATACAGGATCTTGATCCACGATCACTGGGATGGGACCATGTTCAAAGACTCTTGCATGAGCCTGACATGAATATCGCCCATTGGCAGAGTATTACCCTCCCGAAAACTAACGTGGAAGTGGAGAATGGCCCCTTGGAACACCATTTTCCACTACAAACAGGTGGTTTTCCACTTCATATCAATTTTCGGGAGTGTATCTTGAATGGTGCTGCTGAGTTTCAGGCAAGACATGTGCATGCTGGGGGATCTGTGGAAAAATCGTCCTCGGCTCGCGGTGTTCAACTCCAGAGTCTCAAGCATGAATTGGAGGTGCTGGTTGGTGAGGCAGCTAGGCAAACTTGTTGGCCCCAAGCAACGATTAGTGAGTCTAAATATGTCTAAATTCTATCTGATGTCAGGGTCACATCCCAGAAAAGCAGTGACCTGGAACAGGAACAGTGGGAGTATACCAACAGAGGTTGAAGAACCCTATAGACTATCCTATAGGTACCCCAGATTACGGGTCCTATTTACGGTCACTTAACCTCTGTTGGTACATTTCGATATGTAGATGGTTTTCAAGGATGTTCAAGGATGTTCGCGCAGCCCAACGAACCAATCCTTTCCAACACAACCGCCCCACCCGGCCGCCGGTTTGCTCAGGAGGAAAGAAGGACCGGCGATGTGAGCGAACCGCGTGGGAGAGCGTGATCCCCGCGAAGCTGAGCGTTGAAGCTGAGCGTGACTGCCTGGTATACCGAGCAGTGGTCATCTCACCCCATTCGCAAAAAAACGGGATCAGTACATGACAGTGAACGACTGCTTTGTGAAATATAGGAGACCAGACTGTGTATATATAGTTTGTCTCCTTGTTCTGGCGGTCGTCATCCACAACAGCTTACCGTATACGAGGAGGTCCCTGCCTGACGGGGTCAGACTTAAACCTGATTCTGGGTCAGACTCGACCCAAGAAGCGAAGAAAAGGGGACTGCCCTGGGTGGGCAGATTGTGGACAGGGTGATCCTTTGACCATCCCTAAACAGGGACTCCTGTTCCACATCCGAAGGTAGGGACAGACTCCCTGGCACCTACCTACCCCAACCGCCTTTTCTCAAGGTAGTTGGATCCTTCCCTCGAAGCATTCACCGGTCGCTTCAGCCGAACGCGAAGCACAACCGACAGGAGAACGACCGCCTTCCAGGCTGGACTTCGGTTTGACGCCACGGGAAGACCTGCGGGGAAGTCAGTGGAGAAGTGCCTGGGGAACCGTGAAAGTTAAGGAGTTCAGTGACCTGATTTATTTATGATAGGAACCTTACCCCTGGACTACCCAACTGGGATAGTCGAACTTGGGTTCTTGAACCTTTGGAGCTTTGCCGCTTGCGCCTGGCACGAGGGGCCCGACCAAAAGGTGGGCCACAAGGTGGTGGGGGGGAGGAAGTTTTGGGGTCATGTTTGGTCTGGGACTTCCTGAACCTTGACCCGAACTCCAAGGCTGGAGGCCACCGCTTCTAGGTTGGAGGCCATCGTCGGAGTCCTTCCTAACACCGAGCCGATGCGAGGTCACGAACCGAGCCGAACCGAGCCGGCCGGGCCTAGCCTACCTGGCACGTTTGGGTGGTGTGGTGGATTTGGGTGAAACCAGGGTGGACCCCGTGGGGAAGAGTTGTTCTGTTTTGTTCCCGGCTTCCTGGACAGCCCGATATCCAAGAAGGCCGGTCTGGCCTGGCGATTCGACGAAGAAGTCACGGCAGCTTGTAGCTGTTGCCATGTACAGCGGTGCATGGCGAATTGCACATGCCAAGTCTGCGGTACACGGTCTCTATGGCCATGTTGTTGGGTGTGGAACTCCGTGGCCTGCACTGTCTCGCCGCAGCCGCTGTCTCTCGCGTGGTTTGTCAGTCTGGCGCCGAGCGAGCGCCTGTCGTGCTACGCCTGGAGCTGAAGTGTCGCAAGTGTCGAGGTAGAGGATGTCCTTCACAGGACCCGAGGCATCCCAAGGCTGCATGGGTCGCCTACAGCAATGTCCAGGATTTTTAGATGGCTGGTGCTGCTCAGAAGCTTCTTGGAAGTGTTTGGGTAGACTCTTGCACCGATGGCAGTGCGGCTTGACCACAAAGAAGCACTTGCCCAGGGAATGAAGCAGACGTCCTGGATTGTTCATCCGGCCTGTGTGGCATTTGGCCAAACATGGAACAGAGAGTATGGAGAAGTAAGACTTGTCCAACTCCAACTCCATAAGGGGAGGCTAGAGAGAGAGAGCCTTGCACGAGAAGAAGGGGCCCACAGGGCCCCCCAAGAAAAGGGCCCCTGGGGGCCTGAAGAGACAAGCAGCAAGGGAGAAGCGCAAGGCCAGAGAGGCAGCTGCGGCATCCTCCTACACAAGATTTGGAGGATGCCCTGAAGCCAGAAAGAGCAGAGAGGACAGAGAGGGAGTGAGGAGAGGAGATGGAGCAGAATGGACAGCCACCTCATCCACCGCCTCCTTGCTGACCTCCCCCAAAGGGAGAACAGGGGGTGCCTCATGCCCGGTGTCGCACTAGGACCCCCAGTTTGTGAGAGATGACACAGATTTGACAGATTCCAGAGCTCTTCATGGAAGCTTGCAAGACGATTGTCCTTTGCAAACCAATGGTTTTCAGGTTCCATGTGGGTCTCTTCCAGAGGTGTATCTCACCCGTTCTTCGCAGCCCGACTTTAAACAGAAAACCCCAGCGATTAGACTGCCAGGACCTTCAAAGTGACCTCTTTAGGGACTAAGTGACCTCATCCTGGGATATCAAAGGGTCACTGCTCCTGGTGGGGGTCATTTTGGGGGCCCCCATTGTTCCGAAGTACCAAACTGAGAGCTCCAGCTCATTCTCCTCGGCTTTCAGAGGTGAAACCACCGCGAGGAGTTCCTCGCCCAGCGCCCCTCGGCGCGAGGAAACACCGATGGGGGGGACTCCCAAATGGTTGGGACTCCCAAACTGTTGGGTTCCATGGTGTGTCTTCCTAAATAGATCCACCTCCACATGTGCGCAGAGGGATGGGAGACACCAAGTATACCTCTCTTTAGGGCGAAACTCAGGACCTGCTGAGAAGGTCTGTGGATTTTGTAGGGTTCTTCACCTGTTTTTTTCTCCTAAGGTAAGTTGATGTCATGTGAATGAGAGAACCCAAGAAGCTGGATGGGTAGAGGGATGTGGAGAGATATTGGTTGCATCATGTTGCTCATGCTGTATCGATTAGCTTGGGCATGTTGTATGTCCAATTTGGGCTCAACGCGTTGAAGCTCCTGTTTTAGTGGCTCCAGTGAATGGTTCATGCAGGTCTCTTTTGTGCGTCGCCCATGCAGCTATAATTCGTACGAGTAGGGGAAAAAAATCCCACTGTAGATGAGTAGTGGTTTCATTTGATTCCTCTTGTGATGTGTCTTCTGTAAAATCAGATGTTTATGTGCATTCTAAGTCTTCCACACCAGCTTCTACATGTTTTTACAAACAAGATTCTTTGGTTACCAGTTACTGTAAGCCTTAAGGTGATCTTGTGTTCTTCCTATGGTTGTATTATGTTGTATTAAACCACCTTCTGGGGAAATATATGTTTCAGGTTCCTGGACAGCAAATCCAAGTTACTGGTTCCCCACCAGAACCATGAAGAACTTCATGAGGATCTTCAAAGTGATCGAACTTCATCTAGGAGCTCTGAAGAAAAAAAAGCTTTGAAGAAGCGGAAGAAGCTGGTTCATGAGGACCCGATCAATCATGTCTACCCATTAACCCAGACCCATCAAGGACCCATGTACCCCGACCCCGGCCCCATGAATCCGATCAATCAATTAGCTTTTCAGACCCATCAACTACGACCCTCATCGAACCTTGAGGCGCCGAACGTCGAGCGCCTCTCGTCAGCGGTTCTGAAGAGCGTTGGGGCGAGAAACCTCCACCAGGACACCCGGATGGTCCGGGGCTTCTATTTCCCACACCATCCAGGCAAACCACTATATAGACTATAGCTGGGAGTTTTAGTGGTTCCAGTTCGACTAAAACCATGGACCAGCAGTCACAAAGGGGTGCTTAATGGAAGTTAGGGGTGCCCATTTTCCACTCACTTGGGGATCAAACACCACCCCTTTGTGACTCCTGGGACCGAACAAATCCCTGGTTCCTTATATAGTGGTTTGCCTGGGATCCACTGGGTTGATAGCCCCTTAGATGTGATTCGGGGTGTCCTTTCTACCACCCCGACTGTGGGTCCTGGTATAGAGAGACTCCTTCCGGGAATGAGTCTGATGCGGAAAGCACCAGACACTCACAAGAAGTTCCTTCACCTTCAGGCAGTGTCTAGTCGACTTAGACACTCACCTTCGGGCGACTTGGGGGATGAGTCCAGTCTTGTGCCAAAGAAGCCAGTCTTGTGGTTTCACCGTCCATCGCTTCCAGCCTTGGAGGAGTCCATTTTCAGAATGAACTTAGAACATGCAACCTAGGGCTCCTGTCGCACCTTCTAAGAATCATTAAGAATCTATATAACACGGTGGGACTGGGGTGGGTGCCAGGAGGGTCCAAATACCTTCTTAGGAGGTACGACTGGAGCCCTACTTGTAGGGGTAACCAACCTTCCTGGCCCTCCCTTTGCGTAATTCAGCATTTGGAGGACCCGAGGCTTTTCCGATCACCTGCTGTGCACGAGGTCTGTTACGTCAAGGATGACCCAATTCCACAAAGCACTGATCACTTTAACACATATGAAAACAGAGCCGACGCTCGAAAGACCTTGTTTTGTTGAAGTTTCTTTTCATTAATATTCATATTTTGTGTAGGGTTCCTGGATTGATTGATTGATTGGGTCACTCCACAGCCTCTCTTTGCTGAGTCTTCACCGAGAAGCGTAGACCGCACTGGTCTCGTAGTGTGCTGGATCGGCTGTGGTCTTCCAGCTCAACTGGATCACTGGACCTACTACTGCATCCCTAACAAGAATATGGCCCCCAAATCCACCGGCGGTCAGGGTGATGGGTTCAGATTTGTCAGATGGGTCCATCTTCCAGTCCCATCCATGCTCCTGGGTATGATTGGGTAATGGCGTCCACATTTCGTCACCAGGCTGCTTGTCTTCCCAAGTGAGGAAACAACCAGAATCATAATGCCAGCTGTCCATCGGATACCCCATTGGAAGTAGCTGGTATATGGTAGTTTCTTGGAGCAAATGACCGACCCATAGATAGTCAAATTCACCGACCAGTAGGAGAGCTTTCCGAAGCTTTCCGTTTTTTTCACGTGCGTTTCAGACGTTTTGAATGCATGCGAAGTCACCTGACGTTATGACGGCCGGCCTTGTCACGGGTCCGGTCCGGAGACTGTGCCTCTCCGAGGGGAGGCGAGGCAGGGTAGGCAGTCATGACTCAGAATCAGCGCAAGAAGTGGCACAAGGAGTGACAGCTGAGGCAATCCAGCATCCAAAGTTGATGCCATGGTGAGTTTGCAGGCCGCTGCCATGGGCGTTCGGCGGACTTTGTGGTGGGATCATCCAGCTCAGGGAAATGGGGTCAGTGACTGGGTCAGTGTTGGCAACAGAATGGCCCGGTCGGTGGTTAGGGAGCGATTGAGGGTCGCGGGGTGAAAGGTGTGTCCATGTGTGTCCCTGCACTGACACCTCAAGAAGTCCTATATAGACGGATGGGAGTCCATAACAACCACCAAACTTGGGGATTGTGTCATTGTATAGGACTGGGGAACTAATTCATATGACTCGCACTGACTATGGTCTATCAACCACCCCAGCCTTGGCTGCTGGCAGACTGAAGTCTCAAAGGTAATGGTCTCAAACGCCGAAGCCGCCGGCGCTTTCCACTCGCCGAAGCCGGCGGTCCTCCGGTTCCCCAAACGCCCGGCAGCTTGGTTTCAGCGACGAAAACACCGGGGGGGGGCGCAACGGAAGAGTCGCGTTGGCTTGCTCAGGGCGATGCCCTGTTGTGCAGGTGGACTTGCCACCCCTTCCGGATGGAGCGCCGTCGGGGCGCTGACCGAAGACAGGACGAAGCACCAGTCGCAAGGACTGTCGCTGGTGACAGGTAGGGAGCTACTGAGTCAGCCAGGGGTAGGTAGGGCCACAGTTCCCTCAAAAATGGGGAGCCATTCCGAGCGCCAAACGCCAACTTCCCCAGCCAAACTGGCTGGAGGATGGTGACAGAAATCGGAGTCTTGGCAGGTGCTCTCGGTGTTCATGCGTGATTGTAGAGCTGAGCAGCCAGCCTTCCATCCCACCTCTCCGGATCACGAAATACTAAGCCAAGAGTGGTCTTGGCTTCATCCCTACTCTCTCAGCCAAGATGGAGACCACTGCTCTTCGAAACAGGGAGTGGATGGACCAATTGCTTAACCGCTGGAGTGAATGAGAACCTATCTTATAGTACTACCCTGTTCAGGAAAATGAATCATATGGCAATGGCTCAAACCCCCCTGCTTGACCACAGAAAAGGAACAGAATAGACTACTACCTGGAGATCAGCTTGGCCAGTTTTTTGACGCGAAGCGCCAAAACACTGACATTGTTGCAAACTAATCAGAAACTTAGACGATTTTGTTTTTCCTTGTTTCCGGACAAAAATGGTCAATGATTCATTTTTTCAGAGAGACCCAGCAGTTATTGATCCCGCAGCAGTTTCACCAGCCAGCAAGTTGGACTTGATCAGAACTAGCAGAGAGGAATTTCAAGACAATTGATTTAACAAAAACAAAGTGGATCTTCCTGGCCCATTTCGCCAAATAGCCAGGAAAATCTCAGCAATACAACTATATGTAAATCGCATATGGTGTATACATCCAAGACTATATAGGGATGAAACTCTCAGCCCGGAAGCGCCTGAAGCTCATCCATGCTGTGGTAAGATCCAGTTCGAGTGCACCATATGCTCTTTGCGTATCTTGAGCTGTGGATGCTTTCACAAATGTTGCACATGCAGCTGAGCTCAATGCCAATTGACGTTAAAGAAAAAGACGAAACACACGAGGTTACAAAACAGGTTGAAGAACGCCGGCTTAAAAAAGGAGCAGAAGAAGGCAAAGCACGCCTTGCAGATTGAGGCAAAAGTCCAGTCCAGACTTGACGCGGCCATTGACGATTGCAACCAGGGCCTGCGCAATCAGTTTTCAAGGCAGGCTGACCAACTCTTCGAAGCGACTTTAGATCTGCAAAGTTGGACCTCGAGGACCCCTACGCAAGGTTGCCGGGGAGCAGGCAGCGTTGGCAAGGCAGCAGTAGCTCGTCGCAGGTGGCACTCCCCGCAGGTGCGTATAAGCCAGGCAGGTCGGACAAGGCACCTGTAAACCCCACGCCAGTGAGGGAAAAGGAGCCTGAGCCTTTGGTTCTTGGGCCGATTCCCAAGTGCAGGAAAGCTGGACATTAATAAGCAGCAGCAAACAAACACAGAAACCAGGAACAAAAAACAACAAGAGCAAGCAAAAAAAAGAGACACTAGAGCCTCAAAAACCATCAAAAGCCACATAGACTAAGTTTGTTGTTGGATGTAATTTGGGATAAGCATCTGTTCCAGCAAAGACACAGCCATGGAAGGGCATAGAGAACTCCAGAGATGCAGGCAAGGCTCAAAGTCAATGATCTTGAGATTGGCAGGTTTGTTGGCCAGTGCTGGCGCCCAACTTTGTTTGATGCAGGTTGTTGGAGCTATCGCAGATGCCGTTAGTCCGGTGTTTGCTAAAGCTGAAGGTGCCTTTTCAGATTCTTTAGCTTTCACCTTCACTTTTCCACCCCGCTGACTTTTGCAGGCCATTTGGTTGAGCAGCTAAGCAATGCCACAACTGAGGTGTTGGCCCTGTAAAGCTGGCACCCGCAGCTGCTCTGGGACGATGTCCTACATGTATGTTTTCGCATGTTCGCGCCCGATTTTTGGCGCGGTGTCCTCTTGGGAGCTTGTGGCAATCAGCAGTTAGATGTGGCTCCGGCTGATTCCCAGACACTCACTATGGATCTCTCAACGTCCAGGGCATGGATTGCAAACACATGCCTGTGGCCATGTTGAAAATGCCATTGCAACTAATCTCAATGCAATGCTGACCTATTCTTTCAAAACTTAAGACTGTTGATGCACTTGCTGTGCAAATCCGGATCTTGGAAGAAGAAGATGTGTACGAGCTTATGCAAGGTTACACCAACTACATCCGCAAGATTGGGCGGTACAACTCAGACCCAAGTCCAAAGCATTCGGGACCCCAACTATATATGTCACTATTATGTCGCTTATGTTAGAGCTAAGTTAGATCTAAGGCTACATATGGTACCACATGTTGGAGAAAGCTTAGTCCTTGAGAGTGTCGCCGAAGTTGAATGTGTGTTTCAAGGACGAAGACTTTGTCCGCAGGCTCTGCATTGTAGTTTCTTAGTTGCAGGTAGGCCCAGTAAATTGAGAAGCAAGAAATCGTGGACCTAGCTGAGGCAAGCGGTTTCCATAGCACAGGGGTGAGGACCAATCGTGTCCGGCGGGGGCTTGCCACTGCAGCACTGGAGTGGCTGGATGAAAAATAGAGGCTTTGCAGCTGAAGATGCCCTTGGGGTTTATCAGAAAACCGGTCGATGTCATTTTTAGGTTAAAAAGTTAAAAACTGTTAATGAAACATGTTTGGCTCAGTGAGGTTAAGTTGATCTCCAGGTAGGTCAAGTCGATCTCCAGTTAGGTAGGTCAACCGACCAGGGATTCCCGGTCTTTGACCCCACAGCCATTATAACTTGTGGATTAACAGTGGGAATCAATTGGGTAACCTGCAAACCTTTTATTGGGGGACATTGGGGCCCACACCCCACGCAAAACCCGTGGACTGTTCGGTTCACCGCTGATGTTCCGAAGTTCGGCTTGGGTGTCAGTGCAGTTGCCATGGGAGACTCGGCTACGGTTTTTCTCAGTGCGATTATCACGCCAAAAGAGGCAACCAAGGCTGAACTTTGGAACGGCTGTATTTGGGAACATGCTTGAATATTTTGGAATCATTTTTACCAGACCATCCATGTATGGATTAGTTACCTACACTAGGCCTAGGGCCATCAATGGGGTCCCAGTCCGTGTACATGTATATACATGGATGGCCTGGGTTTGCGGCCCAGAAGCTTTGGCAACCGAGGCTCGACTCCCGCACTCAGAGTGTGGAGTTCCTCGGCAGTGAAGGAGTCTGAAGCGAAGTCTGAAGATGTCCGAAGCGTTTGGTCGTCCGGCGCAGCTGTTGTGGTGAAATGCCTGTTTTGGACGACACCCCCGCAGACCAACATGCGACCTGAGAAGGACAAATCTGTGGGAAGAGCATTTGCCGAATACCAACCCAGTTGAGCTGCAGGGGAGTACCAAAATTTCCCAGAATGTTGGACAGTTGAACACCCAGCTGGGCTTGTATAAGCCATTATAAGTCCAAAGACTATATGTTGCATTGAAGTATAAAGCAAGCTCCTTTTCAGGTCACCCAAAGACGATCATTTTATGGTCTCTGACTCCCAGGGTATGGCCTGTATACCCGCACGTCGTTGAAACAGGGGAAGCCCCGAGTTCCACCCCGAACAGGGGTGGAAAAGCCACCTGTACGATCACATACGTCTCCCGATGGGGAGACGGCCCAGTTTGGAAGAAGAGGAGGCTCTGGTAAAAACTTTAACAAAGGAGGGGGGATTCCTGCGTAAGTTGCGTAAACCAATAAAGTTTCTTCACAACTGAATTTGTTTCCTCCTCAATTCTCCAAGAGTGAGGCGGTCCTGTAGAATGTACATGTCAAGCGGTGGTGCCACTGCCTGCCGTTTACGCCCAGGGAAACCGAGAAGAAGAACTTTGAGATGTCCTTCTGCTCCTTAGAGCTCGTGGCGCCCCTCATCCCAGCGAAGGCAGCTCCATGCGCAGCTGGGATCAGCGGTCTTTTAAGACTGAAGTCGGAGGAGTCATAAGTCAATCATATGTCATAAGTCAGTGCATGTAGCAGCAGCATAGAAACTTTTCAGTCATACCGATTGAAGACAAAGCCTTTTGGCGTTTTGCGAAGCAGTTTTGAAGTTTTGGGGTTCCACGTTGATGATCCGGAGGCTACGGCAGGATGTGTTGAAAGGAAACGAATTTGTGACAGCGTACGAATACGCCAACTCATGGACCATGCCTCCACACTGCAAACACTACACCCACACAACAGAAGATGTTAACGTTTGGGGTTTGTACAGAAATCATTTGAAATCGTTTCAGTTCTTGAAAACCTTCAGAAATCCATCGGGCTTCCATATCTGAGGGGGGTCAAAATCACTTGGTTGGTGTACCACGCATTCGGCGGTGTACGTGTGGCATCATTTCGCTTGCATGTTGCCCTGTTCCACTTCGGGACTTTCCTTCCGATTGAGCCACTCAGATTCAGAGCGCTTCGTTGTGGGCCAGTGGATGCCAGTGGTAGAATTCGAAGGTTAGTTAAAACAATAGAAAAGCAGAAGGAACTCCAGTCCTCAGCACAAAAGAAACACTCAGATCCCTTCAAAACCATGCGAAAATCAAACAACATACAAAACGTGCAGTTCGTCACAAAATTCTCACAAAAATGTGCTACAAATGAAGGTTCAGGCTGTCATTGTTTTCTGTTTTGTTTTTTCTTTCAGCTCATATCCGGTTGTTAGCAACAACGCAAGTCATATTAATTTAGCCACGACTCCCAATCCTTCCGTATATTATCGGTTTGAACAGCCCATCCGGAACAAGTCTTGAAACCTGGGAAGAACAGGCAGCCGCCCATTCCTGAAAGTCTTGCATTTCCTACCCAGTCGGAGAGGAGAAGCTTTAACCATCTTTAACCTTTTTGCGGGATTGTTTCCCGCACTTTTTGGGAGTCAGGTTGTTGACCACCAAACGTTGGATGGGCCGAATGCATCCGAATGCTTTTGCCCACTCAATTCAGCCACACCGCCGCATTGTTGACGCGTTGAAAAGCACCAGGGGGGCGGCGGCTATGGTGTGGGAGCTCAGAGGAAGGGAGGAAGGGCTTAGGAGCTTCTGATATCGTTCTTCTGGAAGAAAACTGACATCCTTTTCATCCTTGTTCGGAAGGTCCTTCTTCCTGCTTCACTGTTGGAGCCTTTAATTTTTTTAGTTTGCTTGGTCAGCGCCGTCTATGGAGGCTCTTTTTGGCCGGGCAATGGTGGGTTTGGTGGTCCAGGGTCGAACCTCTAAAACGAGTTCTGCTGCGTGGAAGTTGACCTGCCCAGATGCTCCAAACAGCCCTTGGTCCCTCAAAACCTAAGGATTGGCTCGACCCCAGACCCCTGTATATGAGGGTCCAGGGTCGCGTTTGGGTCGGACAACAACTTTTGACGAAGAGTGCAGTAGCGGCTTTGATTCACAAGTGACTGGAGTGCACCGCCTGCGCGAGCGGCTGGCAACATATTTGAGCTTTGTGCCTTTGCACGGCAAAAAGCTTATGATAACAAGGAACATGCCGGTCCAGCCGCAGACCAAGTCCTTTTAGGAAAGTAAGATACTCTAATACCAGCAACTCGCATGCACAAATCCACATGTGCAGCCCCACCAGCAAAAAATCCTGCCTAATCGGAGTTGCTTTTCCATCCCCAAGATGAAGAGACACATCGGCGAGATGAAGTTCTCAGACAGAAGGACCTTTTTTCCCAAACAGTGTGGGCACACTGAGGGGTTCTTACGGCAAGTGAAAGCAGCTGATGCTTAGATCGCTGAAGCGCGCGGGCGTGACCGGCTAATTCGCTGCTATTTACAGTACATTCATGCCTCTCGACATCATCAATGTGCACTTAATTTGACTGCGCAGGCTCGCTGAATCTGGGTGTTTGCGGCGGGTGCTTCTAACGACTGCGCTCTCGTTGTGGTGCCGTGCGAATTTTCGCACATGGTGGTAACTTTTCGTGGCAGGCGCAGGGGAAACCTCGTGCAAGGGATCGGAGCTGCTTTTTACTTCAAAATGCAGTTTTCGTCGCAGGTGCAGCACTTTGGACATGTTTTGGTGATCGTCGAGGAGCCCGTGATTTTTGGACATGTGGCTCGTTTGCAGATTTCGTGGCAGGCACAGCACTCTCTGACCCTCCAGTGCAGATTTCGTGGCAGGTGCAGGACTTTGTGAACCTCGAAGTGCAGATTTCGTGACAGGCGCAGCACTTGGTGAACCTCGAAGTGCACATTTCGTGGCAGGCGCAGCACTTGGTGAACCTCGAAGTGCAGATTTCGTGGCAGGCGCAGCACTTGGTGAACCTTGACGTGCAGATTTCGTGACAGGTGCAGCTGAGCCTCGAAGTGCAGATTTCGTGGCAGGCACAGCACTTGGTGAACCTCGAAGTGCAGATTTCGTGGCAGGCACAGCACTTTGTGAACCTCAAAGTGCAGATTTCGTGGCAGGCACAGCGCATGGTGAACCTCGAAGTGCAGATTTCGTGGCAGACACAGCGCTTGGTGAACCTCGAAGTGCAAATTTTGAGAGAGGAGAGAGGAGTCGAGAGGAGAGGCCTTCCTTCAAGAAGAAGGAAGGTGATTTGGAGGCTCCTTTGCCTCAAAATGTTGACATGACACAGCCCCTCCAACTTGAACTTCACATTGTCAAGCATGCGCATTTTGCGCGCAGGGTGACAAAGTCA